ATCAGGGATATTCTAAAGTATCAATGTATTTTTTTTAACCTAGATGATTTACGATGATTAGACTCCCCCTGGCTAAGCGCCTGCTTATAATACGTGCATAAAAGTTCGTACTAACTTGCATGAAAAAAAGGAATTGAAGACTTCATTTTGTATTTTACAGTTATTGCATCTTCTTCCATGCTCTGCTGTTTCTACACATCGCTGCTTGATTGGCTCCGACCGTTATATTCTGAAACTAGGCCTCAATTAAGATTGCCCACAAGCAAAGCGGAAAAGTCGAATACGAGCGCGAAAGGTTGCTGGGAATTTCTTTGAAAATTTATTAATTTGTAACGGATTCCCAGCAGCCTTTCGCGCTCGTATTCAACTTTTCCGCTTTGCTCGTAGAGAACCTTAATTGCAATAGCTGTAAATCATTTAATTCGGTTTTCATTATACGTTATACATGGCACAAAATACCGCAAGCCATGGCGTAATATTCAACGCAGATTCGACAATAGATGTGTTTAGACGCCGTGATTTTCATTCCTTCAACCTAATGTATAAATTATTTTAACGCACATCATATGATTATGATTTATTTGCAATTTATCACTGGAATTTATGGTATAGTGTCTTTTTCTTTTGCATGGTAAATTAAGTATGACGTCTAAATTGGTCGCCAAACTTTTGCCCTATTGAATTTGATTAGGTTCGACGCATGAAAAGTTCACCGTCTATAACAGACCTTCGTTTATTTAAGATTACCTGAATCCCAAGACCACTACTTCTTGGAAGTTTGGAGTGTCTTTAAATGTTTCATATAGCTTAAAAAAGCAACATAGTGTACCAATAGGAATAAATGAATTAATCATATATATTTTATTCTATTTCGCTTGAAAATGTATTGCTATTTATTTGTTGCATTGGAACAGTAAATGATACACATGTGTATTATAAATAGTAATTTTACTCGTGAAATAAATTTTTCATAACAACCAGAGAATTCATATGTCAAATAACATGCAAAATTTTCATTGGGTTACAGATATAATGCTTTCAATGAAGGAAAATAAATTTAAATAGCCTATATGTAACCTGAAAGGTTGATCACCAAACGAATATACTAGTAAACTCCACATTTGAACGTGTTCTGTGACTGCTTTTTGTGACAAATGTGATCAAGTAGTGTTTGTGACTCGTTCTTTAAAAAATCTACTCCTTAAAGCTGAGTCGCAGAAGATGAATATCTGAAATGTAGATTATCATGCAGGCAAACATAATGAATTACATATATATACAAGTTTTCATCTAACTATACATACAATTAACAGACTTAAGAGTTTTATTCTAGCGGAGTTCCGGAAACTACTGTAATTTTAATAAGTGGCAATTTTCTAACAATATTCCATCCATAATTACCTCTACAGTGATATATCTTTCCAATTCTTGATAAACTGGCGAAGAAGTGTTCTTTAGCTCTTCAGTAAACTCTTCCTCCAAAGTTACTGCAACTTTTATCACTATAAATTCTGAAATAAAAAGGGCAATTGGCAATTTATGAAACAATATTGTTAGAAATATAGTTAATGTCCATCCTCTTCTTTCATGACTGAATAAATAACAATGTTTTTGTTATGAAGGACGAAATGAAAATTACAGGGAAAATTGGCTAATTAAATAAACTTAACAGTCACGATGATCAAGTGACCGTGTTTAACATCATGTGCAGAGTACAAAATAATGCCTGTCAAGAAAAACAGAAACAAGTAATCCAATACAGATTAATAAAATATCTTATTCCAGCCTTTTATCAGGCGACACATCATATGCAGGTTATAGCTACAATGTATACACAATAAAATCCATCTTTATTTTGCAAATGTATGATCTATACGGTTACACATGCAGCATTTGCAGGATGCAAGGTACTAAATAACCATTACTATTTTAACAACAACATACTGTACCTTTACAGCTCACTCCATCATAATAATATCCGTCATTACAAGGACATGATATTGTGTCAGCCGTCAATTGTTTACATGTTGAATTTCCAGGACATTGTTGAGATTCACATGTTCCTGTGAGAGGTAAAAATATTTTAGCCACTGTTGGTTTAAGCTGATATCGTGCGTATGAGCTTTTTGCATTTTTTTTTACCCTTTTTATATATTTGTATTAAAGATCCGTCGTCGGCCCGGGAGTTATAGTTGGGCATTCGCTCAAAACGTAGAATTTATCCTCGCATTTCTCGGGTAGTTGTATCTTTATCAATGGGCAGCTTTCCTATTACTGACACTGCCTACACTGACATAGAAATAGAAAACGAGTCGCATTCTTCCAACATTCCCATCGTCGTGCGTTTATAGTGCGATAATAGACGCGTTTTCTATTTCATTTATAATATGAGAAAAAGAGAATACGAGACAAGCATGTAAAATACGAGGCGTAGCCTTTTGCGTAGTCGAGTATTCTAAATCACGTATATTCAGTTTTTGTTTGCCTTTTTGTATGTACTGTATTTGGTATTCCTGTATCTCTTTCAAGTTTTTTCTCGGCTATTTTGCACTCTTTTACCCAAAACCTGTCCAGACAACAACGAATTCGACGAATGCCAAGCCGGTTAATTTTACACGCAGAACTATAAAAATTTGCTTTGTTTCTTTGGTCTATTCCTTCTTGCTTTTTGGTAATTTTTGTAATTTAAAAGCTCTATTATTTTGTTTATATTTTTGGCTAAAAAGCAGTAATGAAGAGAGAAAGAGCATCAACAAAGAAAGAGCAAACCAGTGCCACAGATCACAGTGCATTATTGCGTCACAATGCACGCGCATTAGCCAATCAAATCGTCTGTTATATATCACACTTATATATTATAAAACTCAGTTACATGATGCAAAATAACTTGCTGCTCTACATGGTGTATCAAAAAAAGCGCAATCCTCGACTGAAATGTAAATTGCTAAACAAATAATAGACGAAAACGTTAAAGTTTACATTCATTTTAAAGCGTAGCCATTCAGCTTTCTAACAGTGGGTTGTTTCTTAAATTTGACTCATTGGTTCGCGGGTAATGATACTTTACGTTATTGCGATTGGAGATTAAAAAAATTGAGATGGAATAACAAATCGTTCTCATGAAAATAACTGATTTTTCATTAAAACAAAAAAATGTTGCATTTTATTAAATGGATTGTAACAATAAGTATAATTACGGCTTTTCTTCCACTATTTTTAACTCAGTTTGAAACTTCAAATGCGATATAATTTTGGCTTGGATCATCTAAGCTGACTGACATATCAACTTGCTATAATTTCTGTTTACATTACATCGCAATTCGATGACATTCTGGCTCAGACACCAGAATGTTTTGACGATTTTTAGCATTCGTTTAGGATTTTCAAACAACCTGGTCTCTTTTAAAATACTTTTAATTTGTTCTTAAGTGGTTTTCCAGATGTAGTGATGACAACATTAAAGTTTAAAGAAGAAAATTCTAACATTTAAACTGAATAAACAATAACATAGTAAACTTGCATAATTAAACAGCAACTAAAAATGATAGGTTTTACTAAATCTTTTCCTGTGCAATTATTACTAGCATTGGAGACAAAGATAATAGTTTGTTTGAAAGAGAAAAGAACAGGCTTTGAAGTAAGCCTAAAAGCGTTTAACTAGATATAGTATTTCGAAAGTTATTAAGCACAAAAGATGAATTGCGTTTATTTTGATACACCCTGTATATTAAAATTATTAAGAGGAGATTTTTTACAAAGTCGCGTATTTTTTTCGAAAAGCGCTCAAAACTTAGCGACCAGGTCTTCGCGAAAAAATGCTGCGCCGTCATCTTGGTTTTAAAAGTTTCTCAAAATTGGCGAAGAAAAATAACAGAATTTTACTGGATTTTTGGCTGTCTCACGAGGCAAAACATTGCCAAATATAAAGAAAGATAACATGGTAAGTGTAATATCGTACTTAGTAGGTGTTATTTAAATTACTAGAAAATACATGCATGCAGAAACCCTCGCCTTGCTGACAAAACCGTTGTATTTTTCGAACATGAAGTATCTAAAGTAGTTGTCATGGTAACACGATAATTTTTTAAGAATATTCTTACAAATGAAAATCGCCTAAAAATATCACTTTTAATTACAAAATTATCAATTTCCCAACATATTTATGTTAGGTATGTAATTATACGTAATACAAGCTTCGATTTAAGGTAAAATTCAACCACAAACAATTCACAAAACGTTTTAAAGTGTTCTTTATAAAACCATGGATTGTAAAATAACCATGATTTATTATCCATGATAAAACTAAACTGCCTTTAACTATTAAATGGCTTTATCGATAAACTTTGAGTTTGCAATAAAATGATTTCAAATTCTCGTTTGCAAATAACTTTGCTTTATTTTTTATTTAAAAAATTCAATATAATAAAAAAGGGAATCAATATTAAAGATACACTGAAATTATATGCTGTCTTGTTTAGTTGTTTCATATACGCAAAGGCCGTCGGGTTTTAAAGCCATTATAAAATCAATATTTAAAACAAACTTACCTTCGTTAACGTCGGCTCCCTTCTTTTAGCTGATTCTTTCGCCCTTTCTTTCTTGAAATTTACAAAATCTTGCAGAAATACGGGCAAAAATGAAGAATATTTGCAAGAAATTTATCAATCATCAACTCATCAAATCAAGAAATGTTTGCTATTTCGCTGTCGTCATGCAGCCGTTATAATGCAAACTTTGAATTGGACCAATCAGTGTCCGTTATTTATGACAGTCCGCCATATTTTTGAGATCAGTGAGGATGACCACCCATCGTTGGTGACCGACGCCCGCGCTCATTGATGAACTTTAGACTTCCCTAATGCTTTCGTTTCCCCGGGTGTAAATAGCCGGGGGGAATTAGTACCCTCGCACGGCGCTTCGCGCCGCCGGCTCGGGGGTTATTATGTAAATATGCACATGTATCGGACTCAGGAGTGAGCGTAATTTAAAGCTATTATAATATTAAACTGATTGAAAGTGACAGCTTTCGTCTTTGGAATGATGGCCTACCTGTTCATAACTCGTTAATATACAGTAGGTACATGCAAAAGTTTAAAGCACTATTTTTGAATTTTCAAGGAAGAATTTGAACATTTGTAAATTTTTGCTCTGTTGCATGTCCATATTATAAAAAACATTTCACTGCAAGTGCACATAGCATGCATATCTGTAATTTTAAACTTCATACTGTTTTGTACACATGCAGCTGTTGCAGTGCTTCAGGTATACCATGCTAGTCATACAATATACTAAAGTAATTGGAAACTACAAATTCATATGGGATGTAGGTGACAATTGCAAGTGGAAATAATAGTTAAAACAACCTACTTTTCCTCATGCATATAACTTGATGTCGTGCGAGGGTTGCTAAACTGGGGCTGGTCATAAAGCAGGGCCTGACCTGATGAGGCAGGATGCATCATCACCATGGCCCCCGACAGGCTCAAGCATTGGCACATATACAGGGGGGGGAGGGCAGTTAGCCCCCACCCCCCTAGAAACTCACCCCATCTATTTGGCCACTTGCACCCCACTAGACATTTTTATCCCTCCTTTAAAAAAATAAAAATCCACCCTTGGGCTCAATCAATGTTTTGAAAAACAAAGTTTCCCATAAGGTCATAAAGACCTTTTTAGTTTGATAATTGCAAAAGATTTGACACTGAACCCCCCTCTGCCCCAAGTAAATCAATCCCGATGCCACACAAAAGAATACTTCTTTCCCTCTGAGTTAACAATGAAAGTATATTTTTACAGATCTCTGGGATATTACTTTTTAAATTTACAACCTTAAAGATATGATTATGAAGACAGATGTCTGACAAATGTACATTGTAGAGTATTTTCACTATTTTGTACATCCTATAAACTTTTTGTAATATCCACACAAATATATAAATTTGTATCATAATTAAATTTGTATCACAATCTGTGATTTAATAAATATTCATTTTCATCTTGTTTCATTTCTTGTTTTCTTTGTTAACCTGCAAGAAAAGATCTTCTTAGAAAATTTGATATTTTTGCAAATTTATTATGATATACTGTGTATATTCATGATCTAATTTATGCCTGGCCTGGTAGAATTCTAATATGACCCACGTACTATATGTGTTTATTTTAAATGAAATTAATAAGAAAAAAACACTGAATGAGTTAAATAAAGAGGTTCAGACATGCAGGATTTTTATATGAGAGCTGGGTTTGCATGGTTAGCACTACAACTAGCCTAATAAGGGACATATCACTTAAACTAACATACCCCAGCCTTCATATGTGAGACAATTTAAATTTAGCTTGTTCAGGAACAGTTCTGCAGCACTTTTCAGCTGTGCACATTAGATTCACATATCCTTCAAAACAGCCTTAAGTCTGGTTCACATTGATCGGCGATGTTCTACGATCCATTGTCTGTGAGCAACGAAGAAGAAAATGCACAAAACATTTTATGCATCAATCACCACCGACAATGGGCATCGCTGATGTTTACGATCAATGTGAACCAGGCTTATTATGAAATTTTTTAATATTTTGGTTGATTTTAAAAATGTCAAAAAACGACCTTGGACCTACCACTCAAATTTGAGTCAAATTATACTTTTTGCAAACTAATATAACCAGGCCTCATCCTTAAAGATAAATTAGTTTGATCAGAAACAGTTTTGGGCTAATTTTCAATAGTTATACTTGATGGCAAAGAGTAGACTGTTAAAAGTCTATTTCTGCCAAATAATACAGTACCAGTACTTGATGGATTTTGGGAATAAAAATGTTCATACAGATTTTAAATCAATATGGATAGTGAAAAAATGGAATAAGCAATACGTCGATATGACTAAACATAATATCTCACACAATTTTCAAAGAAAAAATACAAATATTGGGCATTTCAAGTAAATAAACACTGTGAATATTGTAATTTTGGTTGATTTTAAAAAAGTCAAAAAACGACCTTGGACCTACCACTCAAATTTGAGTCAAATTATACCCATACTAATATACCCAGGCCTCATCCTTAAAGAGAAATTAGTTTGATTAGAAACAGTTTTGGGCTAATTTTCAATAGTTAAACTTGATGGCAAAGAGTAGACTGTTAAACGTCCATTTCTGCCAAATAATACAGTACCAGTACTTGATGGATTTTGGGAATAAAAAGGTTCATACAGATTTTAAATCAACATGGATAGTGAAAAATGTAATAAGTGATATGTCCATATGACAAAACATGATATCTCGCATGATTTTCCAAGGAAAAATATAAATATTGGGCTGTTCAAGTAAATAAACACTGTGAATATTGTAATTTCGATTGATTTTAAAAATGTTAAAAAACGACCTTGGACCTACCACTCAAATTTGAATCAAATTATACTTTTTGCAAACTATCAGACCCAGGGTCTATTGTGAAGAACATTTTAGTTAGATCAGAAGCAGTTTCGGATGATTTATAACTGCTGAAATTATGTTTTACCAAATTATGAACCAATTTAAGTCACATTTGGCAAGAACAGTAAAAACTAAATTCAAACCTATCTAGCATTTTGATTTTAAAATCGATACATTTAATTGCAGAACATATATCTTAAAAAACAGAACATATACTGTTGTTCAATATTTCCATTTAGTTTTAAAGCTATAGCCAAACATGCTGCATTTAATCACCTTTCCAAATAAATCAGTAAATTTTGAAATCGTTCGTAAAAATCTGCAAAATTAATGTTGGACAAACACGCTAGTTCTGTTAAAATTTTCTACTCTGATCAGAAGCAGGTTATTGGCTAGAAAATTAGTATAAATTCAACCATACCTTCCAAGGTTCCATGCATGACAGTCCAGTCAAAACAAATGCCACTAAACATTGCATCGCTTGTAATTCTTTGTTTATCATAAATTCATCTTGTTAAATCCATCTTATTCTCCTTACTTCTTGAAGATTAAATTGACTAATTATCTATCAAAAATCTCCCCATACAGTTGTCATTTGCGTTAAAAACTGCATCATTTTCAAACGATACACACCTCGACACGAAACGACGCCGCCATATTGCCAGCATTGTTCTATCGCCTTCTCAGCATCACAGAATAAGGGCCTGTTCATATGATCCCGCTTACCGGGACGTCTCGCTTACCGATGATCTCGCCGCCTATCTATTTTCCTATAAAATTTTGCATTGTGTTCATATGAGAAAGCGAGCTGGCCCGCTTGCCGAGATCTCGTTTGAATTTGCCGATATCATAGGTAGGCGGGATGAAAATTTTTCCATATGAACACGCCAGCCCGCTTACCGGGATGAAGTGAAACAAGTCTTGCCGGTTTAATTTAACACTTTTTACTTGGTTTTATGTACTATTTAAAAAACGAGCGGGAGTGTTTTATCAGGTTTAAAGCCACGAGCGCGCAGCGCGAGTGGCTTTAGACCTAATAAAACACGACCCGCGAGTTTTTTAAATGACTTCAAAAACGTATGCATAATAAGTCAAATCTTTATATAAAAATCTTTACATAAAAATCTTTATATAAAAATCTTTATACAAAAATCTTTATATAAAAATCTTTATATAAAAATCTTTATATAAAAATCTTTATATAAAAATCTTTATATAAAAATCTTTATATAGTTTGCATAACAATGGCCTTTTGTTAAAGTGTTCTTTAGCTGGTATAAAGACGTATGCACATGACTAATTTCTTACTCAAGATTGGATAATTGCTTCATGAATTATTAATGAGTTTTTGAAGTTTGTTTTGTAAACAAGTATTAAATAACCACCTGAAGCAATACTTTTTCTTGTAAATAAACGAAGAAAAACACTAAAATCGCTAAGTATTTGTGTTGCTTGACTGAAATGTAGAAGTTTTGCATACGCTAATTATAGAACTACAATGTAATTTCATCTCGGCAAGCGGGATGAAATACTCCATATGAACGCACGGAAATATTCGTCTCGGTAAGCGAGACGTCCCGGTAAGCGGGATCATATGAACAGGCCCTAAAAGGTACCTTATTCTGTGTCAGCATTCTGGCAATCTGATTGGTTTTGAGCGCCAAATACGCGAGTTCGTAAAAAATCTCCTCTTAAAATAACTCTATTTGAACATGAGACGAGAAACGTACAATTTCAAATCTGATGATTTATAATTTCAATAATTTCAAATCTAATGGTTAATCTAAAATATTATTTAATTCAAAGATTCTCAGTTCCTAATTGGGAAACAGCCAACTGTGAAATGGTCATACCAACTCATTGGCTGAGGTTTTACATAAAACGAAAACACGAATGCTCACTAAATTTTGGAAGCTGGTAAGAAACTTGAAAAGGCATTTTTTTCGAAGCTAAATCATTTGAACAATATGGCGACGCACTTATATGGTCGTTAGACGAAGTTGGTTATATCATCTTGTTTCGTCTCAAATAAGATTAACCGTGATTGATATCTGCATGATCAAAAAGAAATATTTTCATACGCAAAATATGAGAATGTTAGCATAAAAAATACCGCTTCCTTTAAAAGGTTTATGAGCACGGCAGGGATAAATTGGAATGAATACGAAATGTGGTGATCTGGGACATTCATCTTTATGCCTGGTTCACACTGGTCGTAAGAATCGCTGACAAATTACGACCAGTGTGAACCAGGCTTTTATATAAGCCTGGTTAACACTCGTTGTAATTCGTCGGCGATGTATTGTATTCTTTTCCGACAGACAAAGCAATTTATACACCAATGACCACATGCAGACAATGGAAGACATGGAAATCCCCGATTCTTACGACCAGTGTGAACCAGGTTTACGACTTGTCCCAATTTAGTTCTGGTCTTCTAGTTAGCTAAAATGTACTGCACTTTTTACTAAGGAGCAAAATAGGGAACTTATGATGTTTGTTATCTAGTACGGAGATTGTTTTTCAACAGTTACTTATGTTTCACTTCTGGATTTGTTAATTTTTTTAGCAATTGAAATATATTTTTTACGTGATCTCAGTTTTTGTTGATGTGAACCATGCAGGCATAAAGATGAATGTGGCGATCTCGAACATTCATCCTTAAGCCTGGTCCACAATGGTCGTAATTCGTCGGCGATCCATTGTATTTCTTTCCGACAGACAAAGGATTTTACACACCAATGAGCGCCAGCAATAGAAATTCCCAATTCTTATGACCAGTGTAAACCAGGTTTAAGACTTGTCCCAATTCACTTCTGGTCTCCTAGTTAGCTAAAACGTACTGCACTTTTTAGTAAGGAGCAAAATAGGAAACTCATGATATTTGTTATCTATACAAGGACTGTTTTTGAACAGTTACTTATGTTTTACTTCTGGATTTGTTAATGTTAAACAATTATCCGTATTGCTGTCACTGTGAATTTAGCGTGTGTTTTTCGTCATATTCGCGTACTGAGTTTCTCATATTCTAAACTCTCTATTAATTTATTGCTGAAAGTTTTTAATTTAAACTTTTTTCAAGAAAAGCCTTTTATCTTTTTGTACAGCCGGCGAGATTTATCTCTTCGACTTGTGCCATACGTGCATGCAATTGACCAAACAAACATAATTTTCTTAAGGACATGTAAGGACATTAAGGACATTAAGGACACTTACTTGAATCATCAGGTTTTTCCGTTCTGACTTGTATTTTAAGTTTATCTCCCTCGCCATCATTATTATAAGCATGAACCGTAATCTCGTAAATTGTATCACTCTCGAGACCAGTTAATACTGCATTTAACACCCCCGATATCGCCGAAATATTCTGGTTATTGTATTGTGTCTCGGCTTCAGTCTTGTAACTAACCATGTATCCATCAATGTCGAATGCGCTGTGGCCTTTCGGTTTCTCCCAACTGATGTCAATACTGTTATCTGTTTTACCGGTCTCTTTAAGTCCAGCCGGTGGCGGAGGAGGTCCTGAAACAGTTTGAGATAAAATTTCTTATTAAAATTTACATGCATCATTATTCGAAAGCAGTGAACATTTTAATGGCTGGTAAAATAGTTGTAATGCATGGCTAGTTAAAGAAGCCATGATCCTCAATATTTCCTGCTAATTGTTCACGTACTATGAAATGAATGAAAGAATAGCGTTTGCTCTTTACGTTTCTCCCACACAACATCAGATAATGTAATCAAATTTAATGTAACATCAATTGCGTTACGAATTCACGCTAAAAAAGTGTCTGGGCTTTCACCGTTCCAATAAAGAAGAATGTACACCCAGTCTTCGGGCCTAAATGGGCCTTATGAGCAGACGGGGATGCGTTCATGAGCAGCTATGACCATGTGCTCATAACTGCTCATGCAGGACGACCAGGTTAGCATGCACTCATGAGCAATTATGAGCATGTGCTCATCTGCTCACAGCACAAAATTGTACCAGACATGATTTTGAAGACCTAGAAAAATCTATACGCAGTAGATCGGGTCTTAAATGGGCCTTATGAGCAGATGAGTATGTGTTCATGAGCAGTCATAAGCATGTGCTCGTACACTCATGCAGGATGATCGAGCTTTAGCTTATGAGTGAGTGCTCTGAGCCGTCATGCTCATGTCCATGCAAGATTAGAATTTGAGCTGTGTTCGGACAAATTCGATCACAGTATACAAAGCAATCACAGTGTTTGCAAAAATTTGATGGAACTTTGAACAAAAGTTCACAAAATTTGACGAGATTTGGGGGTTCTCTTAGGGTTTTGGCCTGTCAAAATAAGACGCCAATCTACAGGTCGTTTAAAGTGGGTAGAGGCATGATCTCATAATTAATGTGCCTCTCTTCCATGTTTTGTTTAAAAATCAATACGATTTCGTATTCGTCAAACCTCCTTCTCCTCTTTTTCACTATGTCCTCTCAAAAAATGTCGGAATTACGTACACAAATCCAAAGTTCGCAAACAAAATATCGTGGCTAAAACTGATATATATACCGACCCTCATAAGTCAAGGGTTTTAATGTTCCCGGACAAGAGATCAAGATAAACCGGTTTTGTCTGAGCAGGTCTTGCATTAATTTCCCGCTTTTTTGTAAGACACGTTGCAAGGCCACTCTAAATATTCTATTTCGATACATCTTATATCAGAAAGGTACCACAATATAGAACCAGACCAAGGGCCCTTGAATCTTGATTAAATAGTAAAATATTTGTTTCGTGTTCTAAGATGAAAATATATACACCCTGTAACAACAAAAAGTTCAACTAGAATAACTATTGTACCATGATTTAATAAATATAGATTTTGTAATATCACAACACAGCGTGTGTTTTGTTGCGTGAATGCCCCATCACGCAAATCATCTAATGATCGATATCAAACGGCCAGCAAACTCTTATCAATAATGTAGAAGCAAAACTATAAAAGGTATTAAAACGTTCCAAATAGCACAACTTGAGCACAAATGTTACTAATGTTTAATGATGTCAATGAAAACCGTCGTTGGGATTGATAACCGTTTTAAATGTACGGTTGATTAATTCGACTAGCACTATTCTACAGAAAGTTTCAAACACAGTAAGTGTTTCAAAGCAAATAGTATTCTAACTTTAACTAAAGAGTAAAGGGGAATACTGACATTGGTAACAGTTTGAATTTCAATGGTCCAAACGTACCGCCAAAGGGCAAAGTGCACGTTTGTATAATCTTGACGTTGGCAATTAATGTGTCAGCTAGCAATTGAAATTAACTCTGCCACGGGCACCGCCACAGTATACACAAAACACGGGCGATTGCTTTCGCCAAAAATAGCCTATTCGTTTTGACTCTCACTTAAAGTTAAACCATTAAAGATGTATACATCACATACTGGCTGATACAAATGACGAAACTGCTTATTCGATCAGGTCAAATATAAAATATATAGTAGCTGAATTTTAGGCGTCTAACGGCAAGGCAAGGCAACACTCAAGTTGCATTTTCATTATAACTTATAGGAACAGAACATACGAAAATACAAACTGTACATGCAGGAAAGGGTGAAAATTGAACTCGAACTCGTTTCCAAGGGAAACGAAGAATTGTTCGAGTTAACGGGGGTTCGAGTTCATAGTTTATAGATGCACATTTCGAAATAAATGACATACTTCCTTTAGATAAAAAATAAAGGCAAATACTGCTATAACGGTTTTATTTTAATGACGTAGCACAGGAGAATGTTATTTTTAAAGTCAAAAGACCAAAGGATACCATTTTGTTGCCCTCTGGGGTTGACACTGTGATAGCAATTAAAGTTAATCCCTTCTTGGTTTACAAACTGTTGTATGTAAGGGACCAGTCATAAGTATAGGGGGGGGGGAGGGGCTGGAGTAAAAGGGGGGCACCATTTTCATGCCTGCAAAAAAGGGTGGCCCAGAGAAAATTGTGCAGTACATTAGGGGTGGGTCATGTGTGAATATGTTTCAATTTACACTGTTAATTAACCCATAAGCGACAGCACTTTCCCCTTGATGAGAAAAATAGTCTGGCGTTAGAGAGAGTAAAATAATCTGGCGTTAGACAGAGTAAAATAATTAAGTGGGGTGCATCAGGACACAAGGCTACTCAATGGGTTAACTGTTAAGGATTATTCAAGCTCACACAATGCATGACGAACCTAAACTTCTATATTACACAAACTTTAATGTATATATAAACGCAGTGTACTAAACTTTTTTCGTAAGTTTTAATGAAGGAAGTAATTAGAGGACCAGTATTCAAAATGGTTGTTATATACTCCAGGGCCGTAGCAACCGGGGGGCTGGGGGCAACCTCGTTCCCAGGCTCTTTGCTCTTGGGAAGCAAAGACCCTTGTCGGAGCTGGTCACGTGACCCATTGAAAATTGATAGCCCAAGAGGGGGATGGAAAAGTCTCATATTACATGTTTCCACTTCCGCACTTCGATTGCAAGGAGTGGCCGTTCTGTACAATCATTAATTCATCTTCAAGAATCATATATACCTCAAACTACGTGCTAAATTGGTTTCTGTTTGCTTTTAAATTATACAAACATGCTAAAATGCAGATTCTTATAGCAACAGAAAATTCAGGAAATCAAGCAACGAGAACGTATGACTGTACGCTTTGAAATATTTTTATTTTCTCGGGGTTCGCCGGTTCGGGCGTAGTTTTATTTCACGCATACGTTTCTGTTCTGGCTCTGATATTTATAATATGCTTATAATATGCCAATAAATTGTTCTGATATGGACATGGTATAAATTTTGTTAAACATATGTCTCAAAAGCGACTGTTTATTGGTCGTAGGATTAGCGCCTTGCCGGTCTTTAACGTGACACATTTGGAAACAAGCCAAATACGCATTGAATGTCCATTCTATTGATTCTAAAACTGTTTATAGACATATCGCTCTAGATTTTTTTTTAAAAGGTTATCATCGTTTATATCAAACACCAGGAAGACAAAATATAACGTACAAAATTGTTCGAAATCGACAGTGCACAGCTGACATACGACAATTCAAAACTGCATGAATTTCCTTTTTTGTCTGCACGAGTACCTGTCTGTTGAAGCCACAATATTGCACAGCATCTCCTATAAATTCTATCGCCATTTATTCTCTCCCCTTAAATGCAAAGGAATGACAGCCGAAAAGGTTTAGCAAAGTATTTTTTATTATATCTGGTATAAAGTGTCCTACGTTTTATCAGGGATATACATAATTCATAGACTGTATATGCACACGAAGTCTCGCTTATATTAATGAGTTTTACTGTAACGAACCTTTTAAAGTTTCCATTGATAGATAGGTTGTTTGCCTCCAGTATTGTTTGGTAAAACAGACTAAACTTCTAAAATGTCGATTACAGTATACGATAAAGATTAAAGTTGATTTAAATATTGATAACTCACAGGGGCATTAATCCATTATACAAGTCTAAAGAAGCTGGATTATTCTTCAACAAAGCCCTCAATGGACAATGCCAATGTCAATGAAAGGTCTAATATTATACATGTTGCAAATTACTGTATATACAAAATATGAAATAATTTATATAAAGTACAATACCAGTGTCTGGTGTATATATCGTCCTAGATATTCAAGTTGTGCCGCACGCACGGAAACGCACGGAGGAGTCTTGGCGTTTGTGTAATAACAGATAGCTAGATACACTTCGACATTATCTTTCTTGATCGTTGAGTTTCAGCAATGTAAATGAAATGAATTTTATAGCCAGTCCATAAAGGGCTTTAATCCTGTGCTTTTACAGTCAGAATAGTATACTATTGTTTACACATATTGGCGATGTTTGGGAAATCAAAGACAAAGGATCCCGTTATAAAATAAATCTTTTGTTTCGAATATCGGACAGGATACACTTCAACTATAAAGAGCCATATCGTTCGTTTAATACCGTTTGATCGACCAGTCTGTGTAGAAGATATGTATGTTTCTACGGCGATACGTGCTAAACTTCGCAAGCCAGGCGCGTGTGGAGTGTTTTCCTTGCAAGTGAAATATGATCCAGCTTCTCGCTTAAAATGTAACGCAACACTTATTATTGATGACATTCAGGATAGCAGGAAGTCTTGTCATGATCGGTACGAATTTAGAACAGTTCCTTTCACAATCTCTTGTTGCAAATTACATTTTTATCACCCGAAATTATAACACATAAAGTTGCAATTTTCCAAACGCAACAAACAGACTACTCTACTACCCCTCCCTGAGATCAAATTCAATTTACCCCCAAAATATGGGGGTTCACGTGACCAGCTCCGACCAGGGTCTTTGCTTCCCAAGAGCAAAGAGCCTGGGAACGAGGTTGGGCTGGGGGCTGCAGTCCCTTCCGCCCCCCCAATAATTTGCTAATAATCAATCTTTTTTGAAAATCATGCAGACCTTTATCGTTTAATCCATGCAAAACTGCAAAGAATGAAGATATTACCCGCATTTTCCTGAAACTTATCCAAAATATAG